ATCCTGGTGAGGGAAGGAGCAGGTGATGGTTTCTTCCACTTTAAAGTGGGAGCCACAAGAGCACCCACCTTATGGAGTGCATGTGGCTATTCAGTGAGGGATCACGTAAGGAGCCCCGCCCGTCCTAGATAGTGGATCAATATTAGCTATTATCAATTAGGAAACACACATGTTCTTGACCTCAAGGAATTTCCAGAACATGTCTTCCCATCTTTTCTTCTGTGTTTGGTTTTATTGCTTCCGTAGCTTCTCAGATGGCAGTCTCCTTGTCTGATTATCTTCTCCTTGTGCCCCAACAGGAGGACAGGACTCTGACTTGGCTTGGGAGTGAGTTGGAGTGAGGTGAGGAACCTTCCTTAAGTAGCAGCCAGCCGAGGCCAGTGGACAAACACATGGGGTTAAGTCCATTTTGGCATTTGTGGCCATCCCAGAGGGAACCACCAGAGGCCTGGACCCTGGCTGCTCCCTGTTGCCACAGCTGGCTCACATTTGACCCCACCATTTGTTCTCTCTTCCCCAAGGCTGAAGCAACACCTCCTTCCAGCTGAGACACAGACACGACTGTAGGGAAACTCCTCAGATCCCACTGCTGGCACCATGACCTCGGAAGGCCGTGAACTCTCCCCAGGTAGTCACTTTCCACTTTCTGGATGATGCCTGGTATTGCGGGGATGCCTCCAGCTGAGTTAACCTACAGGGAGTCAGTCCCTTGAGAGTGTCATTGAGCCCCCAAGAGGGGTCAAGGGGAGTCCCCACCACAGGGTCACAGGAACCCTTCCCTCCTGCCTTCTCAGAGTCATGACCTAGATGCCCATTTCCTCCCTCCCCTTGCTATCCTTCAAATGACCCAGAAGTAAGGCAAGGACAGCCCAAAGACCTGGGGGGACAGCAGAAAGAGAAAGAGGGGGTCCTGAGGTAGGGTGCAAGGGGAGGTAGACCGGCAACCTTGGAGGCCTCTCCTGCCCTCTTGCCCTGGTCAAGCCTCCGGCATGGCTCAGGATGACTGGGGGCTTTGCAACAGAGGCCATTCCCTCCAGCTCTCACCCTGCTGCCAGCCTGACTGCTCTGTGAGGGTCAGTGGGACACAGACCAGGCCCCCAGTCGGGTCTTTGCCACAACCCACCTGTGTGACCTGGGTGCCTTACTTAACCTTATCTATAAATGTGGATGTTTCCTTATGTTGTTATGAGGATCAAATATACTGTGTTTATGTGGTTTGGGCCAGTACCTGCTACACTGGATGTTCTCTCTAAGTATTGTTACTCTCCTCTTGACCTGGAACCTGTTACTCACCTCCTCTCTCCCAGCATTCCCCACCCCAATGGCTATATTAGGGCACTTGCCCTGTGTCCCTACTGTAAGCACCTATTTATCTGATATGAAAGTGAAGCAGGAACTGATTCTATTGATCTTAATACCTTTCCCTACGCCAGCTCTCTCTTATCCCTCTTCCGCCAATCAGTTCATAAATACTCAGATTTAACACTGTGGGTTCCTCCAGCTAAGTCCAAGTTTCCTGTCTCCCTTAGTGAAACAGGAAAAAGAAAAAAACCATACGACCTTTCTTTCTTTTTTTTTTTTTTTCTATCCGTCTAGAGAACAAAAGTTTTATTGAGGATGCTATTGAGTATTTCCAGGACACGGTGAGTCGAGAGGTACTGCACTTCCTGCTGATTAACCATGAAACCTGGGAGAAATTTGTGGCTGAGACCTCATTGTCCAGGTAACCCCCTCCCCCCCCCAGGAATGTCCCAGGATGGACACCCCAATCTCTGCACAGCAGTATCCTGGGGTTGGGGTTGAGTATGTTCCTTCTCAACATTCCATAGGGAAACATCTTCAATGACATTGGCTGAGGGCAGGTTGTACGACCTTGGGCCTTAACCTAAAGCAGGCCTAGATCTTCCTTGATCTCTTCATCTGTTCAATTTTATCACAAGGAAACTAAGATAATGCAGGTAAAATGCTGAACATAGTGACTGATGCATAGTAGGTGCTCAATTGATGTTAGCTTTTTAGAAGATTGCTGGGAAGAGACAGGGCCATGGGTCTTCTTCCTGGAGATGAAGGCTAAGCAGGAATTGCTCTGGGACATGCCAGAAACACTGACAGATCAGTCTGTGCCCTGTGGATTCAGACTAGAGCCTTTCCCCACCCCCACCCCCACCCCCACCCCCCAGTCAAAGGATTTATATGAACATGCAGGATCCTGCTGGCCCACAAGATGGAGAGGCTTGGGTTGAATTGGACTGAGATGGCTCGGATCCTGACTCTATCTCTGCCCAGTCCTAGTGGGTTCTCTGGGTCTGTATGTCTTGGAGTCTCAGATTTATTATTTGTTTAATGGAAGCTCGAATTGAATCTGATAAGATTGTGGTAAAGGTCTCAGTGTGAATTGCAAGGTCAAAGTTGAGGATCTGGGCAGCCTGGGTGGCTCAACGGTTTAGTGCTGCCTTCAGCCCAGGGTGTGATCCTGGAGTCCCAGGATCAAGTCCCACATCTGGCTCCCTGCATGGAGCCTGCTTCTCCCTCTGCCTGTGTCTCTGCCTGCCTCTTTCTTTCTTTCTTTCTTTCTTTCTTTCTTTCTTTCTTTCTTTCTTTCTTTCTTTCTTTCTTTCTTTCTCTCTCTCTCAAATAAATAAATAAATAAATAAATAAATAAATAAATAAATAAAATCTTAAAAAAAAAAAACCAACAAAGTTGAGGATCCAAGAGATGTCATCCCATCTGATGGCCCAGGAGGCTTGGACCAGGGCAGAGCTGGCTGTCAGGATGGACAAGGGGTGTCTAGGTTGGAGGACCAGGAAGGGTTGGGCAGCAGGGCTGGGACTGGCTGAAGCTCTAGAGGACAAAACTTGAGGAGGCCTTGGACCAAACAGAGCTGTTGTGAGAGGGAGAAGGGACATTTCTCTTCTCTCTTCTTTGATCTCCTCCCCCCAGGCATCTGATGCCATAAGAAGGTGTTTCCTCTATGCCTTGCCTGGGAGTTGGGAGTATTGACTACCATTTGGAAGTGTCTAGTCCTCTACATAGAGCAGGGCCAGGCCAGTGGGAGTCAGTGTGGCTATGTGACAACTTCCAGCACCTGAGGGACATTTGCCAATTCTGTCCTCATTGAGGACACCAAAGTGCCCACCAAAGAGGAAACTCAGAAGTGCCCACCAAAAAGGAAAGTACTTCCTCCACCAGCTTGCCCAAAGGTAGGTCTTTTCTGGCTTAGTGCTTCAGATAGAAGGTTCTCAAGCTCTCTTGTATCTTTAAGAGATTTTGTCAAGTTGCACATGGTCTTGGTGGACATGCATGTGAATCTGTCACCAGCTGGGGTGTGAATTAGGTTGGCGACACCTGTGAGGTCGGGGGGGGGGGGTGCTGGGTCAGAGGTCTGTGATGTGAGCTGGAGAGTCTGAGGGGAACCAGGGTAGCGAGTGTGCTGCCTCTCAGTCAGTTGGGGCAGTGGCTGGGCCCCAGCAGAGGACATCATGCTTTTCAGAGACAGCAAGTGCACAACAAAATGATCATTAAGGTCCCATCTTGCTCTGAGCGTTTCTTGGTTTTCTCTCGTGAATTCCAAGTACCCACAGTGAGCTACACTGTGAATTCTGAGAGATTTCCCTAAGATTGCTCTTACTTTGAAACCAACTGGTAACTGGGGAGTGGGGTTTCCCACCACCTGAGATTGAATGATTCTTTGGGAGCACTCGTAGAGCTCACTGTGAGCTGTTACTCTCGGTAATGCTGTGCCACAGGGCAGGGTACAGGTTACCATCAACCGAAGAAAGAGACACTTGGGGCAGTGTCCGGGAGGGTGTCAATGCAAAGCTTCGATTGTCCGCAGGAAGAATTACTGTCCAGTATTCAGTGTGTGACAATAGCCCATGAAGCATTGCCCACCAGCGAAGCTCAAGGTATGAAAGTAAACCATATCATGACACTTCTTAATATGATAAAGAAGACTTAATTCAGTTGCAGGCATTGAGAATGTAGTAGGGGAGAGAGATCGGCTCACCTTGGAATACAGTGAAGACACCTAGGGATTTATAGCCAAGGAAAAGTCCAGGGGCAGGGGATGAGCAATCACTAAGAGAAGACATGAAGGTAGGGGATTCTTTCTAACCTGATCCAACAGGGTTGTTGCTAAAACTGGGCACTACAGGCTGTCAAGGACAGAGCACAGAAGACCAAGGTCAAAGCCTAGTTAAGAAGAGGGCTCAGAAGAGCCCAAATAATGTTTGGTCAGGGAAAGAGTCTTTTTCAGCCTGAGCCTCAGTATACTGAGTTTTATGGGGCTCAAACCCATGCTGCCTGCATGGCTGACCTGTGGTCTCCAGCTCCTGCTGGAGGTCTCACTAATATCTTTATCTTCTAGTTCTTCCATAGGTCATGACCCTGCACATGACCCAAAAGCCCCCATCATACATTTTCTTGTCAGGCTGTCCAGCAGCCTGAGGCCCAGGCCAAGCAAGACAGTCCTATCATCACTCTAGAACCCTTGACACCCTAGGTGCGGCCTAGAGCTCACCTCCCAGTGCCAAAGGCAAAGGGCTGGGTCTGAGAGTAAGGTTAATCCTTCAGTACATACGAAGATTTTCCCAACACAGGTTTTTCTGCTCCCACCCCACTCCCTATGTTCATCTACAGAGTTCCCAGTCTACAAACACTGACACTAGCTGTGCTGACCTTTCCTTGATGAGGAGCTGTCTTCCTCAAATACCCAACACTCAAGAGCATTAACATGACATGGACACCTTTTCTGCCTATTGACTGTGTATTGTGGAACACTGCTCATGTTGAATGCATTTAAGAAGTTGCATTCAAGAAAAATTCTTTACATTCGTAAAATTCTATTCCATTTGATTTCTACTGAAAGTTCTGTGGTTTATGTAGGACAGATGGAATCAAGCCCCTTTGACAGATCAGCTTTTCTTAATCACCTGACTTTTGCTGTTACAGGGAAGAGGCCGATGCACTACGTGAAGGTCTGAATGACCTGGAAGGAGACATGGATATTGAAGATGAAGGCCAGGCTAGGGAGAAGTTTTTGAATGTGTTTCCCCAGGTGAAAGTGGAGCTTGAGGGGTACATAAGAAGGCTCCGTGAGTGTGCAGATGAGGTTGGCCGGGTCCACAAGGGCTGCACCATCACCAATATAGTAGCCAGCTCCACTGGTGCTGCGACTGGCCCTCTGGGCATTCATGGTCTGGGTCTGGTACCTGTCATAGGGGGTCTCAGTCCGGAAACCTTGGTAGCTGGAGTGGGAGGCTCACATGAGTCGCCTGCAACTGCCGAGGCCACTCTTGATAAAGAGGAGGTAGTTGCAAAGGTTCTGCATGAAAACTGGTCCAGTATTTCTTCCTTAGCTGTTGATACCATGAAAGTCCTGGCTCGCGCTGCAAGAGATATTCGTAACCTCAGGCTAGGCCGCTTCACCTGTCAACCGGTAGTCATGGCCGCAGGCCTCCTGACAGCGAACAGAGCCTTAGGTCTAGGCTGGGCACAGGTGAAGAGAGTTGTTAGAGGCACTCTTCGGGCAATAGTCAGAGGAGCCCGGGTCATAGGTATGGCCAGCCTTGGTCTCTTCGTTTTGATGGAAGCAGTCAGCCTTGTGTTCAAGTCAGGGAATTTGCATGAGGAAGCAAAGACATGGTCAGCTGAAAGTATGAGGGAGGAGGCCCAGGAGCTGGATAGAAAGTTGGAATTGCTCATAAAGATCTATGAGAGTCTGAAGTAGGGCCGGACTCCATGACTCCGAGCAGAGAGGGAGCAGGGGGGTGTGTGGGACAATGACGTGGAGGCTCCTTATTAGAGGGGAAAGGGGGTAAAATAAAGTTTGGGGGTGGGGTGTTAAGGAGCTTAGCATTTGGCTAGCTGGGCCCAGTGAGGGTGGGGTTACTGCAGTGGCAGGGGGTCCCGGGGAGGAAGGGACATGGGACTGGAATGAGGAGAGAGGGACGGAGAGAGAGGGGAATGGACCAAAGAGGACACGGGGGATGTGGGGAAAGAGGGGCGCGCAGGAACACGCAGCAAGGCCAGGAATACTCAAGCGAGAATGGTTGGAATCTGCGAGAAGTGCTCCTCTGCCCACCCTCCCCAGGAACGGACTCTTTCCCGCTTCAGTCGACTGACCTTCGTTAGGCGGCGACCTCTTCACGATGGTGGCGGTGGGGATGATGGTGGCGGTGGGAACGATGGCAGAAGGGTGGGGAACGTTTGGCGAGTTGCCCGGGCTCTTCAGGGCCGGGTGCGCTGAGACACCAATGAAGTTCCAATGAAATTCTCAAGGTGGTGTTTGGAGCCCTGGTGATTTGGGGCGGGGGGGAAAGAAAGAGAAGAGCGTGGGGTAGGGGGGGACAGAAAAGAGAGAGCAGGTGTCAGGATATCCAGGAACCTTGTGATAGGTGGAGGTCAACCAGCTTGGGGCCGAGACCCCGTGTGTCTGAGCCTCAGTGCCTCCCCGCTGGGGGTGGGGGCCGAGTGCCGGGACCGGGCGGACTCCCCACCTCAGCCTCCCCAGACTGCTTGGGGACAGGACCATGCACCTGCGCTCGCCTGGGCTCTGGAGGCCTGACTTCCTCTCCCTGGGGCTTGTGTCCCGGGACCTGGGGAGCACGTCCTCCCTGGCTCATCCTGCTTGCTTACTGGGCTCCACCCCCCCCCCAATCTGGTTATTTTCCCAAGACCCAGGCACCCTACGGGCCCCACTGGGACACCCGGGGAAGCTTGCACCCGGCTGGCGTCGGGTTGAGCACAGGCGTTTCCCTCAGCCCGTGTCCAGAACCTGGGACTGAAGGGACACATGGCTGTGTTTTCCTGGTGGGCAGGAGGCCCGAGCCTTGGGGGCCGCAGACTTCATCCTCACTCCCTTCTTCCTGGATTGCCAAGCACCACAGGGTCACGTGAGTCTCTCTTCCCTCTTTCCTTCCCAGACTCCACCCACCTGACTTTCTCTGGGTCGGTCATCCTGCCCTGTGTCTGGTCTGTCCCCGAAAGGAGGCCTGGTGAGGGGGCTCCTGGCCACCCTTGTGTGGCTGGTTGGATAAACGGTTGTCCTATGGCTTCACCGGCCAAGCCCAGCCTTTAGATCTCGGGGGAAGGCAAGAAAAGCCTCACCTAGTTTTCTTTTCTTTTCTTTTCTTTTCTTTTCTTTTCTTTTCTTTTCTTTTCTTTTCTTTTCTTTTCTTTTCTTTTTTTAAGATTTTATTTATTTACTAGAGAGAGAGAGAGACAGGCAGAGGGAGAAGCAGGTTCCACGCAGGGAGCCCGACGTGGGACTCAATCCCAGGACTCCAGGATCACGCCCCAGGCTGCAGGCGGCGCTAAACCGCTGAGCCACCAGGGCTGCCCCTCACCTAGTTTTCTGGTCCAATTGTCACCTAGGATTCATGACCAGGGATTTTCTGCCCTGGGATTAAAGAGAAGGATGCATGGGAGATGTCCCCGGCGTAAGGAATCTAGCCCTTAATTTCTTTCCACGTGCCTGTTGCTCTTCTGTGTCTGGGGAGCACAACAGGAAGTTGAAGAAAGGAGGTGGTGTGCCTCGAGGAATTCAAGGAACCAGCCTCACCCAAATCCCCCCACGTATGGGAGGGCGTGTTAGGCTGAGAAGATGCAAACGACCACCTAGGATTTGGGGCCCAAGGAGTCACGTGGGGATCCCAGGGCCCCAGCTAGTGAAGCTGCAGCAGCCAGGCCTGGGCCAAGGCAGGCGTCCATCCAGAGAGAAAAGAGCCTCGTCCGTTTGTTGGAGGCTCCACACAAAGCGGTAGTAGGCTTCCGAATAACTCCTCTTTGGTGAGTGGAAAAATGCTCTGCTCCACGACTTCTTATTTTTCTCACCATCCTTTATCCATCCCGTTAGAGGCCATAACCTCTGCTGTGTTCCATGGGAAGTAGAGAGTTCTCAGGGTGCCAGGCTTGAGGCCTTTGGATGGCGTGGGGTACTGCTAGGAGCAATAGACCAGCCACCCCAAATTCTGTTCTTGGCATTCTCTGAATGTCATCCTGCTGCAGGGAGGGCCCTGGGTAGGGCCGACCTCTCAGATCAAAGACCGTGGGACCCAGGAACCGTCCCTCCCCCATCACAGGGATGCACGGGGATGTGCCAGCCTCAGCCACAGGACGCTGGACCCTAGGGACTGATGGACTCTATCGCTGAAGTAACCAGGAGCATGTGGGCCCTAATCATTCAGATGCTATGACATCCCCACTATCCTTCCAGTAGCAAAAGATCTCAGTAGTCTTAAGAAAACCCAGCAGCTAAGAATTTAAAAGGCCCTTAGGAGTCTGGATTGTAGGAATCTGGTTACTCAGAGGATTAGGAAGGAATTAGATTGGTTTAAAAGACAGGGTTTGGACAGCCCGGGTGGCTCAGCGGTTTAGCGCCCCCTTCAGCCCAGGGCGTGATCCTGGAGACCCAGGATCGAGTCCCACATCGGGCTCCCTGCGTGGAGCCTGCTTCTCCCTCTGCCTCTCTCTCTCTCATTCTGTGTGTGTGTGTGTGTGTGTGTGTGTGTGTGTGTGTGTATGTCTCTCATGAATAAGTAAATAAAAAAAAAGAAAAAGACAGAGTTTAGGGGGTACCTGGGGGACTCAGTGGTTGAGCTTCTGCCTATGGCTTAGGGTGTGATCCTGGGGCCCCTGGGGTCCCTGCAGGGGCCGATCTGAGAGCAGAGGCTGTCAGAGGCTTGTCTCACCTCTCCAGGGAGGGAGGCTGCTGGAGAGAATGTTGCCACAGAAGCCACATGGGTTCCCCGGGCCTGGAAGCTCCAAGGCCCAGGGAAGGGTGGCTTTGGGAAGGGGCGGCCCATGGGGTGCGCTGGCCTCCTGACTGGTGTTCCACCCTCTTCCCCTTCGCTATACCTTGTTCTTGAATTCCACAGTCTACTGGTCTCTCCCAAGTAATCGTCAGATTCGTCTGCTTCCAGAGCCTCGTCTCACATGAACATTGAGGTGGTGTCCAAATGGGATCTGTATCCCTCCCATAGCTGCCTCTGTCCCGAGGGTGACAGACCTGTCTAGCCAATGACAAAAGAACCAGGAGAAAGCATGGTCCCCAGAAGAACCTAAGGAGGGGTGAGCGCCAGTGTCAACACTGGCAGGAGACCACAGAATGGGGCCAAAGAAGTGGATCTGCAAGGCAAGCCCCTCATTCATTCATTCATTCATTCATTCATTCCATCATTCATTTGTCAAACACTTGTTGACATTCCTCCCCTTCTGTGTGCCTGGTACTTGCAAGGTTCTGGGGACACAGAGATCATATAAGGTCCTGCCCCTCTCTGGAGTTCAGAAACCAAGGGAGCACTCATGTGTGCACAGTGCAAGAGGAGGGTAGGGGTTCCCAACCATGCCCTCTCCATGTTCATCCCGTCCCTGTGCCTCCCTCACCCCTTGTGCCCCAGCAACCCTGAAATCCTGGCAGCTTCCTCCATGTCCCCTGGGACATTCCTCCTAGGTTCCTCTGCATCCTGGCCCTTCCCGCAGTGGCCACCTCCTGCTTATCCTTCATGACTCCCTCGACACAGAGTGACTTCTTCCCCGGACCTCTCCAGACCCTCCCGGTGATCCTGATGCTCTTCCTCTGGGCTCCCACAATCCCATGGGCTTCCTCTGGCATAGCCTTGACGCAGCATAACCTCATGCACTGTTCCATGTGCTCCCGCTCCTGCTGCAGGGACCAGGGTCATCCTGTGCACTCCCCACCCCCGACCCGCTGCAGGCGATGGGACCCAAATGGAATGTGTGTAACAGAGAGAGGACTGGTTGGTTTGTTTTCTATCAACAGTATTGAGGTCAAATTTTACATATGATAAACTACATCTAATTCCAGTGCACAATTCAGGAATTTTAGCAGATGAGCTGAGCCTCCTACCCCCTCCCAGGGGTAGAGGCCCAATTCAGGGAGGCCTGGGCCCCAGGTGTGACCCATATAGTTGTGGCTGGTGGGGGGCCGACACTGAACCTCCTTTTCCTGGACCAGGCCATGGGGGTCCTTCCAGAGGAGGCTTTCACAAAGAGCAGAGAAATCCCTGAAGGCTCAAAAGTTGGTCTCTTATCAAAAATACCTGCCCGCCCAAGGATGGCCTCCAAGTTATGGAAGACAAATCCAACCTCCCTGTCTGCTGACACTTTGCCAAAAAGGGCCACTGTCGATATGAGGACCTCCGTGCCTTCTACCACCCAGGCGTCAGTGGACCTCCTCTGTGAGACCATGCCTTCCCATCCAGGCTGGAAGGGGCCCTCTGACCCTGCGGCCATATATTTCCCTGTGGCCCTGTGACGGCTACCGTGAGGCTGTTCCCCCACCACCCTCAGTCAGTGACACCCACCTCCCCCATTTGGGGTCCAGAGTTGTGTTTCATCACATGCCCAGAATGTGGACTTTCTTCCGATCCAGCCTCCAGAGACTCGCCTTCAGGACCCCACCTTTGCTCTCTTCAACTGCCTCCTGGATCCTCTTCCCCTTCGCCAATTGACCACTGAACAGGAAACCTCTCTGGTGCTGTTTCTTTCTTTTTTTTTTTTTTAAGATTTTATTTATTTATTCATAGACACACACACACACACACACACACACACACACAGAGAGAGAGAGAGAGAGAGAGAGAGAGAGAGAGAGGCAGAGACACACGCAGAGGGAGAAGCAGGCTCCATGCAGGGAGCCCGATGTGGGACTCGATCCAGGGTCTCCAGGATCACACCCTGGGCTGCAGGCGGCGCTAAACCACTGCG